AATTATCTCTTTCATGTAAATCCTCAGCAGTTTAAAGCGTCTTGCCTACTTTTTAGATTTTTTCCTCAGCTGTGAACCAAATTGGTAAACGGTCCTGGAGCCAGTTAATACCTGACTCTGGAGAAAATCCCTCATACTGTGAATCCTGAGCATTCTGCAGGATTGAGCTCGAGAATTCTAGTCCTACCCGTAAATGATAAAATGTTTCAGCTTATGAGTTTAAAATAACAGCACTCCAATCCCCCCGGACACACGCGCACACGCGCACACGCACACACACTCTGCAGTGTCAGCATTCTTTATTATGTATTATGTCCATGCGTTTTAAATGTAGTAAGTGCATTTCTGATGTTGGGACAAAAGGCTTAGTTTCCAGTGCCGTCCATATTTCCTCATTGGGAGGGGCACGGATGGTCATCTACTTTGGGGAAAAGGGTGTCTGAGGCCAAGAAAAAAATGCTTTTTACTAAAATCATGTTTTCCCTTACAGTGCTTCAGGGGCAGCTCATGGAGAGTGTGAGGATTCAAGTCCCTCCTCCCACCCTCTGCTCCAGTCTGCCCTTTGCTGACACCCCTGGCCTTTATAGATGAGTTCCTGGTTCTGAGACATTCCGTAATAGTAGCTGTTGTAGGCATAGTGTGACCCTAAAATTACCATATTGTCTTCATGAGCGTGAGCTTCTTCTGGCTCCCGTTTCGATCAGCTCTTACACAGGCTTAGATGAGGAAGAAAGATTCTACCCTGAATAATGAAAATGAGCACATGAGTGTTGACTTTTATATTCTCCAAAAATCCAGCCTGTTACTTTTCAGGTGATGTGTATGTGCATTTATACCTTATACTAGAGGCCCGATGCACGAAGATTCGTGCAAGAATGGGCCTTCCTTCTCCTGTCTGCTGGCACCGCCTGCACTCGGGCCGGAGTGCCTTTCCGCCTTCGCTCCGGCCCAGAGCCGCCTTTCTGCCTTCGCTGCAGCCTGGGGCTGCCTTTCCACCTTCCCACGCTGCCCAGAGGCCTGGAGCAGCAGCTGGGCGGAGCGGAACACCAGGGAAGCAGGCACTGGAAGCGCCGAGAGAGACGGGCCCCCACACCCGCTGCTTGGGACCCGCCGTATGAAAAAAAACCCCCCCATCTTTATTGGAGTAAATTTGCATCCCCCCCCCCGGATTCGGCTGATGGGTGGCGGAGAAGGCTTTGGTCCATTTTGGACCCTTGGTCTTTTTATAAGGGTAGATAATCAGCATTCAGCATGGCAGACTTTGTCAGTAGTTTATGTTTTAAATATTCACAAGATAGATTTTTGAGTTAAAAATTGTAATGGAGATATGTAGTGTTTGAAAACTCGCATACAGGTGTGAGTTTGATCTTTAGAGTACCAAATTGGCCTTTTACACATTGATGGAATTCTTGTTTATGGCATATGTACATACTTCTACAGTCTCACAGACACATATATAAACTTGATTTTAACTTAGTTGTAAAATTTAATTTTTGTCAGGGTTACAACTGTATAGCTGTATTTTAAATTTTATTGTGACCATTTCATTTCATAATACTCTTGCATTTTCAAAAATGAGCTCTCATCCTATATAATAAAAGCTCAGCAACCAAAATGGCAGTACGACCAGAGACCAGAATGACCACGGCCCCTCACCCCAGCTGGCAGCCCCCCAGTGAGTGGTTAGGGGCGATCTGGCAAGCAGGCGAGCAGTTAGGGGTAATCAGGGAGTCAGGCAGAGTGGTTAGGGGCGATCAGACAGGCAGAGGTGGTTAGGGGTAATCAGGCAGGCAGAGGAGGTTAGTGGCAATCAGGCAGGCAGAGTGGTTAGGGGCGATCAGACAGGCAGAGGTGGTTAGGGGTGATCAGGCAGGCAGAGGAGGTTAGTGGCAATCAGGCAGGCAGAGGCGGTTAGGGGCAATCTGACAGGCAGGTGAGTGGTTAGGGGCAATCAGGAAGGCAGAGGGGTTAGGGGCGATCAGGCAGTCAGAGGAGGTTAGTGGCAATCAGGCAGGTGAGTGTAGGGGTGATCAGAGAGGCAGAGGCAGTTAGGGGCCAATCTGATAAGCAGGTGAA